TCCTGGTGGAAAGGGCTGCTGTTCAGTTTAATAAACCCTGCACTGCAATGGCCAGTCCAAACCCCTTGAAAATTTACTCCAAATGAAGATTCCTGTTAGACAACAGGTGTCACCACAGAAAGGTCTTTGCTGCCCAAGAAGTGCCCAGGCTGCCCCAATAACTGCACCTGAAACCAAAGCTTCCAGATTTTCTTTTCCTTAGGGAAAGAACTTCTGTTCAGTTTAATAAACCCTGCACTGCAATGCCCAGTCCAAACCCCTTCAAAATTTACTCCAAATGAAGATTCCTACCAGAGAAAAGGTACCACCAGAGAAAACTCTTCCTGCTCAAGAAGTACCTAGGCTGAAGCAACTACACCTGAAGCCAAAGTTTCCAGACTTTTTTTCCTGGTAGAAAGAGCTGATGTACCGTTTTTTTCAGACCTGCTCTGCAATGGCCTGTCCCACCTCCTGAAATTGAATGTAAATGAAGGTTCCTGCCAGACATAAGTTGCCACCAGGAAAACCTCTTCCTGCCCAAGAAGGTCCCAGGCTGCCCCAGAAACTGCACCTCAAAACCAAAGCTTCCAGACTTTTTTTCCTGGTGAAAAGAGCTGCTGTTCAATTTTTTAAACCCTGCACTGTAATGGCCACTCAAAACCCCTTAAAATTTGCTTCAAATGAAGATTCCTGAGGGAGAAAAGGTGCCACCACAGAAAACTCTTCCTGCCCAAGAAGTGCCCAGGTTGCCCCAACAACTACACCTCAAAGCTAAAGCTTCCAGACTTTTTTTCCTGGTGGAAAGGGCTGCTGTTCCCTTTTTCCAACCCTGCTCTGCAATGACCAGTCCCAGCTCCTGAAAAATTGAATCCAAATGAAGATTCCTACCAGACAAAAGGTGCCACCACAGAAAACTCTTCCTGCCCAAGAAGTGCCCAGGTTGCCCCAACAACTGCACCTGAAACCAAAGCTTCCAGACTTTTTTTCCTGTTGGAAAGGGCTGCTGTTCCCTTTTTTTCAGCCCTGCTCTGCAATGGACAGTCGTACCTCCTGGAAAATTGAATGTAAATGAAGATTCTTTCCAGAAAAAATGTGCCACCACAGAAAGCTCTTTGCTGCCCAAGAAGTGTCCAGGCTGCCCCAATAACTGCACTTGAAACCAAAGCTTCCAGGTTTTTTTTCCTTAGGGAAAGAGCTGCTGTTCAGTTTAATAAACCCTGTACAGCAATGGCCAGTCAAAACCCCTACAAAATTTACTCCAAATGAAGATTCCTGCCAGACAAAATGAACCACCACAGAAAACACTTCCTGCCCAAGAAGTGCCCAGGCTGCCCCAAGAACTGTACCTGAAACCAAAGCTTCCAGACTTTTTTTCCTGGTGGAAAGAGCTGCTGTTTCGTTTTTTCAGCCCTGCTCTGTAATGGTCTGTCCGACCTCCTGAAAAATTCAATGCAAATGAAGATTCCTGCCATACAAAAGGTGCCACTACAAAAACCTCTTGCTGCCAAGGAAGTGTCCGGGTTGCCCCACAAACTGCACCTCAAAACCAAAGCTTCCAGACTTTTATTCCTGGTGGAAAGAGCTGCTGTTCAATTTTTTAAACCCTGCACTGCAGTGGTCAATCCAAACCCCTTGAAAATTTACTCCAAATGAAGATTCCTGCCAGACAAAAGGTGCCACCAGAGAAAACTCTTCCTGCTCAAGAAGTGCCCAGGCTGAAGCAACTGCACCTGAAACCAAAGCTTCCAGACTTTTTTTCCTGGTGGAAAGGGCTGCTGTTCCCTTTTTTCAGCCCTGCTCTGCAATGGCCTCTCCCACCGCCTGGAAAATTGAATGGAAATGAAGATTCCTACCAGACAAAAGGTGCCACCACAGCAAGGTCTTGCTGTCCAAGAAGTACCCAGGCTGAAGCAACTGCACCTCAAAGCCTAACCTTCCAGACTTTTTTTCCTGGTGGAAATAGCTGCTGTTCAGTTTAATAAACCCTGCGCTGCAATGGCCAGTCCAAACCCCTTGAAAATTGGCTCCAAATGAAGATTCCTGCCAGACAAAAGGTGCCACCACAGAAAGCTCTTGCTGCCCAAGAAGTGTCCAGGTTTCCCCAATAACTGCTCCTGAAACCAAAGCTTCCAAGTTTTTTTTCCTGGTGGAAAGAACTACTCTTCAGTTTAATAAACCCTGCACTGAAATGGCCAGTCCAAACCCCTTCAAAATTGCATCCAAATGACGATTCCTGCCATACAAAAGGTGCCACCAAAGAAAACTCTTCCTGCTCAAGAAGTACCCAGGCTGAAGGAACTACACCTGAAGCCAAAGCTTCCAGACTTTTTTTCTTGGTGGAAAGGGCTACTGTTCCGTTTTTTCTGCCCTTCTCTGCAATAGCCAGTCCCGCCTCCTGAAAAATGGAATATAAATGTAGATTCCTGCCAGACAAAAGGTGCCACCACAGAAAGGCCTTTGCTACCCAAGAAGTGCCCAGGCTACCCCAACAACTACACCTGAAACCAAAGCTTTCAGACTTTTTTTCCTGGTGGAAAGAGCTGCTGTTTCGTTTTTTCAGCCCTTCTCTGCAATGACCTGTCCCACCTCCTGAAATTGAATCCAAATGACGATTCCTGCCAGACAAAAGGTGCCACCACAAAAGTCTCATACTGCCCAAGAAGTGTCCAGGCTGCCCCACAAACTGCACCTCAAAGCCAAAGCGTCCAGACTTTTTTTCCTGGTGGAAAGAGCTGCTGTTCCATTTTTTAAACCCTGCACTGCAATGGTCAGTCCAAACCCCTTGAAAATTTAATCCAAATGAAGATTCCTGCCTGACAAAAGGTGCCACCCCAGAAAGGTCTTTGCTGCCCAAGAAGTGCCCAGGCTGAATCAACAGCACCTCAAAGCCAAAACTTCCAGACATTTTTTCCTGGTGGAAAGAGTTGCTGTTCAGTTTAATAAAGCCTGCACTGCAATGGCCAGTCCAAACCCCTTCAAAATTTACTCCAAATGAAGATTCCTACCAGAGAAAAGGTGCCACCACAGAAAGCTCTTCCTGCCCGAGAAGTGCCCAGGCTGAAGCAACTACACCTGAAACCAAAGCTTCCAGACTTTTTTTCCTGTTGGAAAGGGCTGCTGTTCCCTTTTTTCAACCCTGAGCTGCAATGACCAGTCCAAACCCCCTGAAAAATTGAATACAAATGAAGCTTCGCACCAGACAAAAAGTACCACCACGGAAAGGTTTTGCTGCCCAAGGAGTGCCCAGGCTGCCCCAACAACTACACCTCAAAGCCAAAGGTTTCAGACTTTTTTTCCTGGTGGAAAGAGCTGCTGTTCCCTTTTTCTGTCCTGCTCTGCAATGGCCAGTCCCACCTCCTGAAAAATTGAATCCAAATGAAGATTCCTTCCAGACAAAAGGTGCCACATCAGAAAACTCTTACTGCCCAAGAAGTGCCCAGGCTGCCCCAACAACTGCACCTGAAACCAAAACTTCCAGAGTTTGTTTCCTGGTGGAAAGGGCTGCTCTTCCCTTTTTTCAGCCCTGCTCTGCAATGGCCTTACCCACCTCCTGGAAAATTCAGTGTAAATGAAGATTCCTGCCAGAGAAAAGGTGCCACCACAGAAAGCTCTTTGCTACCCAAGAAGTGCCCAGGCTGCCGCAACAACTACACCTCTAAGGATTCTTATCTTTTGAAACTACAGGCTGAATTTGAGGGATAAACTCCAGTATTCGGAAAGTGGAAAGTTGATAAAACAGAAAAGACTGTTTCTTCTACAACAGTGGCTGCCCCACCAACTGCACCTCAAAGCCAAAGCTTCCAGACTTTTTTTCCTGGTGGAATGAGCTGCTGTTCCCTTTTTTCTGCCCTTCTCTGCAATGGCCGGTCCCACCTCCTGGAAAATTTAATTTAAATGAAGATTCTTGCCAGACAAAAGGTACCACCACAGAAAGGTCTTGCTGCCCAAGAAGTGCCCAGGCTGCCCCAACAACTGCACCTCAAAGTCAAAGCTTCCAGACTTTTTTTCTTTGTGGAAACCGACCGTAGCAATGAGAATATATGATGGTTGCCATAGTAACTGACTGTAGAAATGGGAATGTATGATGATTGCCATGGTAACCGATCATAGCAATGGGAATGTATGATGGTTTCCATGGTAACCGACTGTAACAGTGGGAAGTTTGATGGTTGCCATCATAACTGATTGTAGCAACGGGAATGCGTGATGGTTACCATGGTAACTGACCATAGCAGTGGGAATGTATGATGGTTGCCATGGTAACTGACCATGGCAATGGATATGTATGCTGGTTGCCATGGTAACTGACCATAGCAGTGGGGGTGCATGACGGTTGCCATGGTAACCGACCCTAGCAATCTGTCCCAGTTGCAGGGACCAGGACCAGTTTATCACTGGGTGGGTGCAACCAAAACTGTGTATTTTACACCCTCTGTGTCATTTCTGATGGACTCTTAAGAATGGATTCCTGCCAGACAAAAGGTACCACCACAGAAAGGTCTTGTTGCCCAAGAAGTGTCAAGGCCGCCCCAACAACTGCACCTCAAAGCCAAAGCTTCCAGACTTTTTTTCCTGGTGGAAAGAGCTGCTGTTCAATTTTTTAAACCCTGCAATGGTCAGTCCAAACCCCTTTAAAATTTACTCCAAATGAAGATTCCTGCCAGAAAAAAGGTGCCACCACAGAAAGCTGTTTGCTGCCCAAGAAGTGCCCAGGCTGAAGCAACTGCACCTCAAAGTCAAAGATTCCAGACTTTTTTTCCTGGTGGAAAGAGCTGCTGTTCCCTTTTTCCAACCCTGCTCTACAATGGCCTGTCCCACCTCCTGGAAAATTGAATCCAACTGAAGATTCCTGCCAGACAAAAGGTGCCACCACAGAAAGGTGTTGCTGCCCAAGAAGTGTCAAGGTCACTCCAACAACTGCACCTCAAACCCAAAACTTCCAGACTTTTTGTCCTGGTGGAAAGAGCTGCTTTTCAATTTTTTAAAGCCTGAACTGCAATGGCCAGTCCAAACCCCTTGAAAATTTACTCCAAATGAAGATTCCTGCCAGACAAAAGGTACCACCACAGAAAGCTGTTTGCTGCCCAAGAAGTGCCCAGGCTGCCCCACCAACTACACCTCAAAGCCAAAGCTTCCAGACTTTTTGTCCTGGTG